TCTCCCATATATAGCTATTTCTGAGGAACAATGTGACAAAACATGCATTTGGCAATTTCTGAGCAGCTAGCATTGAAAATATTCACACGATCAGAAATAGTTGATATCTCCCAATATGACAAACCATGCATTTGGCCAATTCTGAGCAGCTAGCATTGAAAACACTCAAATATTCAAAAATAGTTGAATTCCTGCCTATGTGACAAATTTCCGTATATAGCCATGTACGGAAATCTGAGGAACTTTCATTGAAAACATTCCCAGTATCAGAAATAGTTTATATCCTCCCAATGGGACAAACTTAATGCATTTGGCCAATTCTAAGCAGCTAGCATTGAAAATTCAAAACAGTTGAACTCCTCCCAATGTGAGACATTTCACGTATATGGCTACTTCTGAGGAAATTGCATTGAAAACATTCCCAGTATCAGAAATAGTTGATATCCTCCCAATGTGACAAACTTCATGAATTTGGCCATTTCTGAGCAGCTAGCATTGAAAATACTCAAAGATTCAAAAACAGTTTAACTCCTCCCAATGTGACAAATTTCACGTATATGGCCAATTCTAAGCAGCTAGCATTGAAAACACTCAATGATTCAAAAACTGTTGTTCATTCGTTCAGTCACCTCCGACTTCGTGACCTCATGGACGAGCCCACGCCAGAACTCCCTTTCAGCCGTCACCACCCCCAGCTCCTTCAAGGTCAGTCCAGTCACTTCAAGGATGCCATCCATCCATCTTGCCCCTCTTCCTTTTACCTTCCACTTTCCCCAGCATAATTGTCTTCTCTAGGCTTTGCTGTCTCCTCATGATGTGGCCAAAGTACTTCAACTTTGTCTCTAGTATCCTTCCCTCCAATGAGCAGTCGGGCTTTATTTCCTGGAGGATGGACTGGTTGGATCTTCTCGCAGTCCAAGGCACTCTCAGAACTCTCGTCTACTCTCCTTCTTTACCCTTTCCTTCAATAATTATATTGTTAAAGTGAGGATTTGGGGATGCATTTTCTTTGTTGTTCATTCGTTCAGTCGTCTCCGACTCTTCGTGACCTCATGGACCAGCCCACGCCAGAGCTCCCTGTCGGCCGTTACCACCCCCAGCTCCTTCAAGGTCAGTCCAGTCACTTCAAGGATGCCATCCATCCATCTTGCCCTTGGTCGGCCCCTCTTCCTTTTACCTTCCACTTTCCCCAGCATCATTGTCTTCCCTAGGCTTTGCTGTCTCCTCTTGATGTGGCCAAAGTACTTCAACTTTGTCTCTAGTATCCTTCCCTCCAATGAGCAGTCGGGCTTTATTTCCTGGAGGATGGACTGGTTGGATCTTCTCGCAGTCCAAGGCACTCTCAGAACTTTCCTCCAACACCACAGTTCAAAAGCATCTATCTTCCTTCGCTCAGCCTTCCCTAAGGTCCAGCTCTCACATCCGTAGGTTACTACAGGGAATACCATTGCTTTGACTATGCGGATCTTTGTTGCCAGTGTGATGTCTCTACTCTTTACTATTTTATTGAGACTGGACATTGCTCTCCTCCCAAGAAGTAAGCGTCTTCTGATTTCCTGGCCACAGTCTGCATCTGCAGTAATCTTTGCACCTAGAAATACAAAGTCTGTCACGGCCTCCACATTTTCTCCCTCTATTTTCCAGCTGTCAATCATTCTTGTTGCCATAATCTTGGTTTTTTTATGTTTAGCTGTAACCCAGCTTTTGCGCTTTCTTCTTTCACCTTGATTAGAAGGCTCCTCAGCTCCTCCTCGCTTTCGGCCATCAGAGTGGTGTCATTTGCATATCTGAGGTTGTTAATGTTTCTTCCAGCAATTTTTATATTATTAGCATAGTACAATATCAGTTTTAAATATTGCTATATTGCACTATATCAATTATACTGTAATATTATTAGTAATATTACATGTAATATAAATATATAATTATAATATCATATTATTATTAGTAGTATTATATTGCATTACATTACAATATTATAAATATTATATGTATATACAATATATTATATATTATATTATAACATATTATTAGAATAGCACAGGAGACAAGATGGTGCTGTCCCCTGGCCTCCCTTCTCTTCGCTCTGGCCCAGAGCGGCAGTTGGTGCTGGGGGGAGGGGTCTCCAACGGATGGCAAATGCAGGAGACAAGATGGTGCTGTCTCCTGGCCTCCCCTCTCTTCGCTCTGGCCCAGAGTGACAGTTGGTGCTGTGGGGAGGGGTCAGTTGGGCTGCTGAAGTATGGACTGGTTGGATCTTCTCGCAGTCCAAGGCACTCTCAGAACTTTCCTCCAACACCACAGTTCAAAAGCATCTATCTTCCTTCGCTCAGCCTTCCTTATGGTCCAGCTTTCACATCCGTAGTTTACTACGGGAATACAATTGCTTTAACTATGCGGATCTTCATTGCCAGTGTGATGTCTCCACTCTTCACTATTTTATCAAGATTGGACATTGCTCTCTTCCCAAGAAGTCAGCGTCTTCTGATTTCCTGGCCACAGTCTGCATCTGCAGTAATCTTTGCACCTAGAAATACAAAGTCTGTCACGGCCTCCACATTTTCTCCTTCTATTTTCCAGTTGTCAACCATTCTTGTTGCCATAAGGAGTTCAACTCTTTTTAAATATCTGTGTGTTTTTAATGCTAGCTGCTCAGAACTGGCCAAATGCATGGTTTGTCATGCATTTTTTTGATGTTTAGCTGCAACCCAGATTTTCGCTTTCTTCTTTCACCTTGATTAGAAGGCTCCTCAGCTTCTCCTCGCTTTCAGCCATCAGAGTGGTGTCATCTGCATATCTGAGGTTGTTAATATTTCTTACAGCAATTTTCACTCCAGCTTTGCATTCATCAAGCCTCGCACATTGCATGATGTGTTCTGCATACAAGTTAAAAAGGTTGGGTGAGAGTATGCAGCCTTGACAATCTTGAACCAGTCTGTTGTTCTGTGGTCAGTTCTTACTGTTGCTACTTGGTCCTTGTACAGATTCGTCAGGAGAGAGACAAGGTGGCTTGGTATGCCCATCCCACCAAGAACTTGCCACAATTTATTATGATACACACAGTCAAAGGCTTTTAGAATTTCAAATTTCACGTATATAGCTATTTCTGAGGAACAATGTGACAAACCATGCATTTGGCCATTTCTGAGCATTGAAAACATTCACACTATCAGAAATAGTTGATATTCCTCCCAATGTGACAAACTTCATGCATTTGGCCATGTCTGAGCAGCTAGCATTGAAAACATTCACACTATCAGAAATAGTTGATATTCCTCCCAATGTGACAAACTTCATCCATTTGGCCATGTCTGAGCAGCTAGCATTGAAAACATTCACACTACCAGAAATAGTTGATATTCTCCTATATATGGCTATTTCTGAGGAATTCCTCCCTCTGTGACAAATTTGCCGTATATAGCTATTTCCGAGGAACCATGTGACAAACAATGCATTTGGCCATTTCTAAGCAGCTAGCATTGAAAACATTCACATTATCAGAAATAATTGATTTCCTCCCATTGTGACAAACTTCAGGCTTTGGCCAATTCTGAGCAGCTAGCATTGAAAACACTCAGAGATTCACAAACATTTGAACTCTTCCCAATGTGACACATTTCACGTATATGGCTATTTCCGAGGAACTTGCACTGAAAACTTTTCAAAGTATCAGAAATAGTTGATATCCTCCCATTGTGACAAACTCCCAATGTGACACATCTCACCTATATGGCTATTTCTGAGGAACTTGCATTGAAAACTTTCACAGTATCAGAAAGAGTTGATATCCTCCTAACGTGACAAACTTAATGCATTTGGCCATTTCTGAGCAGCTAACACTCAAAAACACTCAAAGATGTAAAAACAGTTGAATTCCTCCCAGTGTGACAAACTTCATGTATATGGCTACTTCTGAGAAACTTGCATTGAAAACATTCACAGTATCAGAAATAGATGATAAGGATATCAATTAAAAGATTAGAAAATAGTTGAACTCCCAATGTGACAAATTTCACGTATATGGCTATAGCTGAGGAACTTGCTTTGGAAACATTTACAGTATCAGAAATAGTTGATATCCTCCCAATGTGACAAACTTCATGTATACGGCCACTTCTGAGCAACATGCATTGAAAACATTCACAGTATCAGAAATAGCTGATATCCTCCTTATAGTGACAAGCTTCATGAATTTTGCCATTTCTGAGCAGCTAGCATTGAAAACACTCAAAGATTAGAAAACAGTTGAATTCCTCCCAATGTGACAAACTTCATTTATATGGCTATGTCTGAGGAACTTGCATTGAAAATATTCACAGTTTCAGAAATAGTTGATATCCTTCCAATGTGACAAATGTCATGAATTTCGCCATTTCTGAGCAGCTAGCATTGAAAACACTCAAAGATTAGAAAACAGTTGAATTCCTCCCAGTGTTGTAATATTTTGGTTTGGTTCAATTCCATCATTGGTGATGTTCAGAATGCTCTTTGATTGTAGGTGAACTATAAATCCCCCCCAAATGTCATATTACAATATGTGACAAACTTCCCGTATATGGTTATTTCTGAGGAACATCCTCCAAATGTGACAAACTTCATGTATATGGCTACTTCTGAGGAAATTGCATTGAAAACATTCCCAGTATCAGAAATAGTTGATATCCTCCCAATGTGACAAACTTCATGAATTTGGCCATTTCTGAGCAGCTAGCATTGAAAACACTCAAAGATTCAAAAACAGTTGACTTCCCCCAATGTGAAAAAATTTACGTATATGGCTATTTCTGAGGAACAATGTGACAAACCATGCATTTGGCCATTTCTGAGCAGCTAGCACTGAAAACACTCAAAGTTGGAAAAACTGTTGAATTCCTCCCAGTGTGACAAACTTCATGCGTTTGGACAATTCTGAGCAGCTAAGCATTGAAAACAATCAGAAATTCAAAAACAGTTGAACTCCTCCCAATGTGACACATTTCACGTGAGTAATTATTGGCCAGTCAGCTCAAAACATATTTATTCAGTAAAATGCCCACACAAGACTAGAAGCATTTCAGTTCTGTGAAGTTACTTCTTTTAAAATGTTCTCAATGCTAGTGTAGTTATAATGTTATCTTCCCCCACAATGCTATAGCCTCCTCATTGTATGCTTCAGTTGGAGGCTGACTTTATGATTCTTCATCATCTTGCTGATTTCTTTTCTGGTGAGACAATCAAGAAAGTGAGTTGATAATTTCTAAAAAGCATTCTTTCCAGAAAAGCAAAAGAGGCAAAGCAAAAGAGGCTACTTTTGGACATTATTAGTTATTAAAATGAGGAAAAGTCATATTGGTTGTTGCCTCCAATTGTAGGAAATCATCAATATTATCCAAAAGAATATACACCTAAAAGCCAAACATTTCTAGGAGAAATATTAATAATATAATTTTCTTTTAAATGTGAAAAACTCCAAGGAAATTGAAGACTAAAGGACTTCTTATACATTAGATACACAAGTTCACTGCTGATACAACATACTGTATCTCTGCATTCAAGCTATCTGTTTTGAGCAACTGTGTAAAAATCCACTGTGTAAAAATCCATTCCCTTCCCTAATATTTCAGAACTTGACATTAATACTTTGACCACAAACTGTTAATGGAACCAGTGGGTTTGTTGGGTAACTCAACAAAATATATGGGCTTTCCATAGAAGTTGAGGAAGCAGGAACCCATTTTGTTTCCTTCTGCTTCAGGATAAGCTTTGTTTAAATTTAACTGCTTTCAGCGCTGCTTTGTTTGAGAGGCGGGGCTTCCTGAGTTTAAAAATTAACTGCTTTGTTTGAGAGGCGGGGCTTCCTGAGTTTAAAAATTAACTGCTTTGTTTGAGAGGCGGGGCTTCCTGGTTATCCTATATAAACCAGTGTCTGAACCCAAGGGGCAGCTGCTCCCACAGAAGTTGAGGAAGCAGGAATCCATTTTGTTTCCTTCTGCTTCAGGATAAGCTTTGTTTAAATTTAACAGCTTTCAGCGCTGCTTTCTTTGAGAGGCGGGGCTTCCTGAGTTTAAAAATTAACTGCTGAGAGGCGGGGCTTCCTGTCACTCAGTAACCTATACTTTCACCCCTGCATACAGACAACATCAAACACACACCAAGAGGAGGTCATTAGCAACCTCCAGATGGAACAAACACGAAAACTTCCCGTCTCATGCACAAGCTGTGGCATGTTCAGCTTTTTCACACTACAATTACTCAATTACATCTGCCCCAAGTGTACACAGATCACTTGCATGGAACACAGGATACGACAACTCGAGGACCGTATTAACACCCTTAAGGACATTCAGGAACTTGAGCCTGTTCTTAGACACCACACACCACACTGTCCTAGACACGCAGCCCATATCACACCAACATTACGGGGAGGCTCAACAGAACAGCACCTCAGATGTGGACAACCCTCAGGCTTGGAGAAATGTCACCCTTAGAAGGACACATAGTACCCGGAAGCCTCCTCAGGATACTTCCGCTCAGCTGCAGTTACACAATAGATTCCAAATTCTCACACAACTATCACCTGACCAAGAAACACAACATATTGGGGAAGACCAGAATGGCTTAGATACTGATCAGTGGCTCATCCTTGATCAGTGTGCAGGGGATAGCCCTGACTGGGACAACACTTCACAACATTCACAATTACACAATCCTGCAGGTGTACCATCCCCAACCATAGACCAGGTGCAACAGGAACACATACAGGAGAACCATAGGCTCTTGGACGAATCTCAATGGATTGTCCTTGACGAATGCACCGGGGATGTCGAGGAGGAGGACAACACTTTTCACCTACACAATTCACACCAACACGCAAAAGGGGCCCTGTCATTCCCGAAAGTAAACAGGTCTTGGTAGTAGGCGACTCCCTCCTTAGAGGAACGGAAGCTGTCATTTCCAGACCAGATGGGATGGCTCGAGAAATATGCTGCCTACCGGGGGCAAAAATACACCATATCACTCAGAGGCTCACCAGGCTCCTCAAGCCCTATCACCGTCCTCCCCTCATGTTGATTCATGTAGGAACCAATGATACTGCAAGGCATACGTTTCAAAAGATCACAAATGATTTTTGAGCTCTAGGAGCAAAGCTAAAAGAATGTAATGTACAGGTGGTCTTTTCATCCCTCCTCCCTGTTGTAAGACACGGACCCACAAGAGCCAGAAAAATAGTACAGGTCAATGACTGGCTTAGAAAATGGTGTCAGGAGGAACGCTTTGGCTTCCTCGACCATGGCCTGCTTTTCCAGGAGGATGGCCTACTGGCAAGGGATGGGGTGCATCTCACACAAGTAGGAAAACACCTTTTTGCTCACAGACTCGCAAACCTCATTAGACGCACTTTAAACTAGGTCCACCGGGGGAGGGGGACAACAGCCTTGCGAACACTACTTTACCCATAATGTCTGGGAATCACCAGAAGGCTAAACGGAGGGCTGCACAAACACAACAAGGACCAAGTACCAAAAGCACAATAATCCCAATTAAACAGCTCAAGGGAATATTCTAGGGGCTCACATGTCTTTACACTAATGCACAGAGCATGGGAAATAAACAAGACGAACTCCAACTTTTAGCACAACACCACAAATATGATATCATAGCCATCACTGAAACCTGGTGGGATGACTCCTATCGCTGGAATGTAGATATCGAGGGGTATAACCTCTTTCACAGAAACCGAACAAAGGGGAGAGGAGGCGGAGTAGCCTTATATGTCAAAAACTCTTATGCTGCAGAAGAGATTCAAGACAGCAATCTGGGAAACCAGCTTGAAATCATCTGGATAAGAATCAAGGAACTGGGACTCAAAAAGATGTCGTTGTAGGCGTCTACTACAGACCCCCAAGCCAGGAGGAAGAACTTGATGAAGTCTTCTGCCAACAGTTGACCAAACAGGCACAGAGAAGAGATGTAGTAGTTCATGGGCGATTTCAACTATCCCGATATTTGCTGGAAAACAAACTCGGCCAAGAGTACAAGGTCCAACAAATTCCTCGCTTGCCTTGCAGACAATTTCATGGTCCAGAAGGTAGAAGAGGCAACAAGGGCATTGGCTACTCTTGATCTCATCCTAACAAATGTGGAGGACCTGATCGATGCGGTCAAAGTGGTAGGATCCTTAGGGGCAAGTGACCATGTGCTCCTGCAATTTGAGGTACAAAGGAAGGCCGAAACTAAGACAAGTCAAACCCGCATTTTGAACTTTAGGAGAGCTGATTTCCAAAAAATGAAGGAAACGCTGAGCAGCATTCCGTGGACACAGATACTAAAAGACAAGGGAGTTACGGATGGATGGGAATTTCTCAAGAGTGAAATACTCAAGGCGCAATTGCAAACCGTGCCAACAAAGAGAAAAAATAGGACAATGCAAAGAAGCCAGAATGGATGTCCAAAGAACTTCTAACTGTGCTAAGACACAAAAGAGACATGCACAAGAAGTGGAAAAAGGGAGAAATCACCAAAGAAGAATTCAAACAAATAGCCAACACCTGTAGGGTAAAGGTCCGCAAGGCTAAAGCAAAAAACGAGCTCAGACTTGCCAGGGACATTAAAAACAATAAAAAGGGCTTCTATTCTTATGTCAGTAGAAAAAGGAAAAACAAGGAGGCGATAGGACCTCTTCGCAGAGAAGATGGGGCAATGCTGACAGGGGATAGGGAAAAGGCAGAACTACTTAATGCCTTCTTTGCCTCGGTCTTCTCACAAAAAGAGAGTCTTCAACCTCAGCAAGATGGAGTGGATGAGGGATTGGAGGACATCCAACGCCAAATTGGGAAAGAAGTCGTCCAGGAATACCTGGCCGCTCTTAATGAGTTCAAGTCCCCAGGGCCAGATCAACTACACCCCAGAGTATTGAAGGAACTAGCGGAAGTCATTTCGGAACCATTGGCAACCATCTTTGAGAGTTCTTAGAGAACGGGAGAAGTTCCAGCAGATCGGAGGAGGGCCAATGTGGTCCCAATCTTCAAGAAGGGAAAAAAGGATGACCCAAACAACTACCGTCCGGTCAGCCTCACGTCGATACCGGGCAAGATTCTGGAAAAGATTGTTAAGGAAGCGGTCTGCAAACCCTTAGAAACAAATGCAGTCATCGCTAATAGTCAACATGGATTTATCAAAAACAAGTCATGCCAGACTAATCTGATCTCTTTCTTCGATAGAGCTACAAGCTGGGTAGATGCGGGGAATGCCGTGGATGTAGCCGTACCTGGATTTCAGTAAGGCCTTCGACAAGGTCCCCCATGACCTTCTGGCAAGGAAACTAGTCCAATGTGGGCTAGGCAAAACTATGGTGAGGTGGATCTGTAATTGGTTAAATGGACGAACCCAGAGGGTGCTCACCAATGCTTCCTCTTCATCCTGGAAAGAAGTGACAAGTGGAGTGCCGCAGGGTTCCGTCCTGGGCCCGGTCCTGTTCAACATTTTTATTAATGACTTAGATGAAGGGCTAGAAGGCATGATCATCAAGTTTGCAGACGACACCAAATTGGGAGGGATAGCCAATACTCCAGAGGACAGGAGCAGAATTCAAAACGATCTTGACAGATTAGAGAGATGGGCCAAAACTAACAAAATGAAGTTCAACAGTGATAAATGCAAGATACTCCACTTTGGCAGGAAAAACGAAATGCAAAGATACAGAATGGGGATGCCTGGCTCGAGAGCAGTACGTGTGAAAAAGATCTTGGAGTCCTCGTGGACAACAAGTTAAACATGAGCCAACAATGTGATGTGGCGGCAAAAAAAGCCAATGGGATTTTGGCCTGCATCAATAGGAGTATAGTGTCTAGATCCAGGGAAGTCATGCTACCCTTCTATTCTGCCTTGGTTAGACCACACCTGGAATATTGTGTCCAATTCTGGGCACCACAATTCAAGAGAGATATTGACAAGCTGGAATGTGTCCAGAGGAGGGCGACTAAAATGATCAAGGGTCTGGAGAACAAGCCCTATGAGGAGTGGCTTAAGGAGCTGGGCATGTTTAGCCTGAAGAAGAGAAGGCTGAGAGGAGATATGATAGCCATGTATAAATATGTGAGAGGAAGCCACAGGGAGGAGGGAGCAAGCTTGTTTTCTGCTTCCTTAGAGACTAGGACGCGGAACAATGGCTTCAAACTACAAGAGAGGAGATTCCATCTGAACATTAGGAAGAACTTCCTGACTGTGAGAGCCGTTCAGCAGTGGAACTCTCTGCCCCGGAGTGTGGTGGAGGCTCCTTCTTTGGAAGCTTTTAGCAGAGGCTGGATGGCCATCTGTCAGGGGTGATTTGAATGCAATATTCCTGCTTCTTGGCAGGGGGTTGGACTGGATGGCCCATGAGGTCTCTTCCAACTCTTTGATTCTATGATTCTATGATTCTATATGCTGGTTCAGTGCTGATATGTGACCGTAAAAAACCAAGGCCATCTTGCAATCCAGATGTAGTTCTTTTAGCTTTTACTCAAGAAATCTCATTCTGAGAGAAAAGCGGGGTACAAATCCAATAAATATATTTAAAATAAATAAATAAGGATCTGAATTTTTTCAGGGGGAAAACATCCTCATTTTTTTCAAGGCACTTCTTCATGCTATGAAATTACAGATTTCACCGATCAAAATGTCTGGGGCTTTTTAGTGAACATCTGTATTTCACTACTTTGGCAAAGTCTAAAAAAGGATCCAGCTAATAGGCCAAGAAAGGATTTAGTAATTATATAGATCACTCTACATAATAAGTAAACAGACACAGAAAAAAATTCAAGTGAACACATTTTTTCTGGATTTAAGTTATTTTTTCTGTAGTTGTAACAACACAAAAATCTTTATTGAAACTTTTTTTGATGAGCTTTCAATCTGTGGGGCAGCAAGTGTTTTTTAGCTTCTTCCTTATGCTCAAACAGTGATAACTTGTCAAAAAGCTAGTCATTGATTTTAAGGGAAAACTTATTAAGACCACGATGCCAAATATTTACTAAAAAGAATGTCTGAATGAAAACTTCAGGTAGAGGCCAAATGTCACTTTGGGAGTTGACAATAGGCTGCAAGAACTTGCAGCACAAATATAGGTCTGCCTTTGGAAAGACAGATTTTGCAAGTTTTTAAAATTACTGTATATACTCAAGTATAAGCCTAGCTTTTCAACCCTTGTTTTAGACTGAAAAAGTCTCCTTCGGCTTACACTCAAGTCAATGTTATTTATTATTTTACTCTCTCTTTGTTGTTGTTATTATTACATTTATTATTTTGCTCTATTATTATTATAGTTATCATTTTACTTTATTATTATTACATTATTTTAATTTATGTGTTATTAAATTTATTATTTTACTCTGTTATTATTGCATTTATTATTTCACTCTATTATTATTCCATTTATTATTTTACTGCATTTATTATTATTGGAAGGATACGTAAGCACATTTACGTTGAAGAAGGTTAGGGCAGTCTTGTCGTAAATTACAATTCTATATAAATATATAAATATTCAAAAACATTTAACCTACTGATGCCTCAATTAATGTAATGTATCTATTTTTATTTTGAAATGAACCAGTAGCTTCTGAATGTCTCACCCTCGGCAATCCGTTTTCCCAGTTTTTGTGGTAAAATTAAGTGACTTGGCTTATATTTGGGTCGGCTTATACTTGAGTATATACTTGAGTATATCTACTCAGGCTATTTCCATATTGCTTATTCTAGTAGAGGAAGAAGTAGAAAGAAATAATTACTTTCAAATCATTGCAGCAGTACCCCATCAAATCATTTTCCTTGCCCTGTAAAAACTAGTTATAACCCTAATCTGTTAGTGATACAGGAACAGCATTATAATGCTTTCTTTATATATTAAAATGTATCATATTAAATTATATCAAGTTATTAGTATTTTTTAATTTTTTAGCAATTTTTAGCAAAGAGAGAGACAGGTTAGGGGGACACTGCTGAATAATGGAGGTGGAGAAGTTGACAGATCAAAGGCTGCCACAGTGGAAAGCCTGGGCAAAGAATAAAACTGCCATATGATATTTCCATATGCACAGCTCTTGCCGCAGTAAGGAAGAATCCAAGACTAATAAGAATATCTCATATCAACCAAGAAAATGGAAAGGGCAGGGAAAAGTATCAAAATGTCTTTCTTTTTCCTTTTTCTCTAGGAGGCAATTGTGAAGTGGTCTCATCCATCTTAGATGCTGTCTTGCAGCACATTGGCATGTGGAATGCCTTTCCAAGCACTGCTTCCATAAAGACTATTTTCAAGATTTAATCCTCACTTTTATCAATGGATAAGTTCTGACATTAAAAAGCTTTTAGACTTTACTTCATTTTCTCGTAGTTAATCAAGGATAATAGAAGGATTTGACATGAGAAGAGGCTGGCACATGTGGTATGACAAGAAGAAAATAGAAAAAAACTTTGGAAACCACTTTGTGCGTTCAGCCTTATATAAGATTTGGGAAAATTATAAACCAAAATTCTACCAGAAAACACCACTTTGGATTTCCCCATTAGAGGCAATCCATAGAAGAGAATGGGGAAGAGAAAATTGGCCGACGTATAAAGAGATCCTCAAAATACAAGAAGATACACATGAAATCTCAGGAAGAACTTAAGTCAACATATAAGACTATAACATGGCTCCAATATAGACAAATTCAAGAATTTTACCATAAACATAAAAATTGGGATTCTCAGAAAAAGGTACAATATGGGACAAAATACTGTTGACAAAAAAGAAGACAATAGCAAAAATTTATAAAATCTTGTTGCGATGGTCTACGGAACAAGAACAGGTTAAGGACTGCATGATAAAGTGGGCTGCACATATTAGAAGACCAATAAAAATGGAAGAATGAAAACTAATGTGGAAGGAAAAAAAATACCCATATTCTTTTGATCTACAAGAAAATTGGTACAAGATGATGTACCAGTGGTACATCACACCACAAAAATTGGCAAAATTTTATTAAAATGTTAAAGATTGCTGTTAGAAATGTGGCACTCAAACCTTCTTCCATATGTGGTGGGGGTGTAAAATTGCAAATAATTATTGGTTAATGATTAATGAAAATATTTAGAAAATTTTAAAAATAAAATTTCAACTGAAACCTGAATACTATTTACTAGGGATAACAGATATGAATATGAACAAGAATCAAGATATCCTATTCAACTATATGATAACTGCAGCCAGAATTCATATTTGCAAGACATTGGAAGACAAAAGAAAACCCAACGGAAGATGAATGGAAATTAAAAATAATGGATATAAAAAATAGATTAACCTTTTTTTTAAAAAAAAGATATGAAGACAAACCCAAATGCCCGACAGACTGGACTTCATTAGACTTTCCCCCCCAAAAAACTAGATGGATGATGCAATTATGAGAAGACGGAGAGACTAATTACAATTGAAATGCAGGAGACTAATTGCCCAGAAAGGATTAGAATTTGGAAGTCGACAAGAAGATTTTTATTTTTAATTTTAATATTTTTCTTTTTTCCTTTCCCCCCCTTTTCTTTTTTCTTCTTCTTTTTTCTTTGCTATTTTTTTTCAAATATTTTTTTCTTTTTTCAAAGAAAAAATGGTGGAAAGTGTGTGTGTGTATATATATATATATATATATATACACACACATACATATACATACACACGCACACACACTCTTTCCACCATTTTTTCTATTTTTTTCTTTCCCTTTTTTATATTTTCTATTTTTATTTCTTATTTCAATTTTTTTGCCTTTCATTCCTCTTTAGCCTTTTTATTCCCACTCCCATTAGTAAGGAAACCTCTGTACCCTTTTTACCATAGTTAACTTCCTTTCCTTTGTTCCTTTTCACCAATCTAATGTTTTTACCCCCTTTTACCTATCCCCTCCTATCCCCCTTTTTTCTTTCTTCTCCATCCTTTTTTATTTATTCCTTTTTTTCTCCCCTTTATCTCCCCCCCCTTTCCCCCTAAACCATCAATAATTTTTTTTTAAAAAAAAGGATCCAGTGAGGGTATGTAATTAATTAAATTATGATTTTTTTCAACTCATGTCTAGCTAGCAGATTGTCTGTACTTTTCCCATTTGAATATATCTAGGATGAACTATCATTTTTATCAAGTTGAAGCATTTCATAACATTTAAGAACCAGTGTCTAACTTTTCCAACCCTGACTCCTTTTCTTCATGTCTGTGTAGGTTGCCAGTGTGAAGATAAGGATCGTCCTGTCAATGATGAGGATAACAATGGTTAAGTTGTTCTAAGAGTATTTCCTCTGCAGATCAGAATATGAATACTATAAATGTAAAAATTATCAAGATTTATACTTGCTTTATCTCTTGAGCATTATTATAATGTGGCAATCTGTGTAAACAAATAGCCAGTGGTTTAGCATCCCACCAAAAGAATCATACTGCTTTGAAGTATGTGTATTGAAAAAAATCAGATCAAAGGTTTGAATACAATCTTGATATATTTCCCTATCAAACAGTGATTGTGGGTCTGAACACTTTCATAGTTTTGAACATCAGATACTACAGTTTCATGTTTTTTGTAGTATTTAGCTGCCAGTGATAGATCCATTCTTTTATGCAATGTACTTACCAGTTTGAGCAAGTCAATTAATTTGTAAACATCTTCTCCAGTGGAAAGGTCTACAAAATCTTTGGGTAGTCTGTAACTGAGATAGGGACTAGGCTGAACAGTGAGATTGCTGTTGGTACAACGGAATGATGGATAGTCCTAATTTGGGTGAAAAGAAAACAAAAAATGGCATCTTGAAATTACCATTGCATTTATTTTAAACATTTTAAATATTTTGTGTATTTTAAATCTGTTTATTTTAATTGGGCTGTTTGTTTGTTTTATCTTGTTACTGCATAGGGCATTGAATGTTTGCAATTTTGTTTCTGGAAGCTGCCCTGAGTCCCCTATAGAGAGATAGGGCGGGTTAGAAATCTATGATGATGATGATGATTATGGAGCCCCCGGTGGCGCAAGTGGGTTAAACCCCTGTGCCGGCAGGACTGAAGACCGACAGGTCACAGGTTCGAATCCGGGGAGAGGCGGATGAGCTCCCTCTATCAACTCCAGCTCCCCATGCGGGGACATGAGAGAAGCCTCCCACAAGGATGATTAAAAAAAACAAGACATCAAATCATCCGGGCGTCCCCTGGGCAACGTCCTTGCAGACGGTCAATTCTCTCACACCAGAAACAACTTGCAGATTCTCAAGTTGCTCCTGACAAGACAAAAATATTATTATTATTATTATTATTATCATTATTATTAAGGTAAAGGTTTCCCCTTGACATTAATTCTAGTCATGTCCGACTCTGGGAGGTGGTGCTCATCTCCATTTCTAAGCCGAAGAGCCAGCATTGTCCGTAGACACTCCAAAGTCATGTGGTTGGCATGACTGCATGGAGTGCCACTACCTTCCTTCCGGAGCAGTACCTATTGATCTACTCACATTTACATGTTTTCGAAGTGCTAGGTTGGCAGAAACTGGGCCTAATAGCGACAGCTTACCCAGCTCCCCGGATTGGAATAGCCAACCTTTCGGTCAGCAAGTTCAGCAGTTTAACCTGCTGCACCACCAGGGGCTATTATTGTTATTATTATTGACACAAACTTATTTATTTATTTATTTACAGTATTTCTATACAGTATGACACAGCAAACAAGATATATATGCGGATTTTGTATTATTATTCTATTATTATTAGTATTTTACTGACACAAAAGCACAGTATGTCACAGCAAATGAGATCTATATGCTGGATATCACAAAATCACAAGTCGAACACTTCCCAAGTGTCTAGGACTGTGTGATGTATTTTCGAATGATGCGCGCAGATCCAAATAAGGTGGCCTTTTGCAGTTGACAGATCGTTATTTTGTCGATGTTTATTGTTTCCAAATGTCAGCTGAGATCTTTTGGCACGGCACCCAGTGCGCCTATTATTATTATTATTATTATTATTATTATTATTTGGAAGTCTCAGTACTTATCAAACAATCTGATAATGTAGTGGGGCTCATACAAGGGAACAATTCCATTATAATAATAGTTTTTAAAATGATTTCCAGAGTGAAAATATGGCAAAACTGCCCTGCAATCTCTACATTGAGCAATTGCACACTAATTTCTCATTACTATCCAAAAAGAAACTGCAAATGGAAACAGAAGTATTAGGGCGGGGGGTAATATAAAGTTCTCGGCGACTTGTGGAGGTTTTTTACATTGGGGAGGCTTTTTACATTGGAAGGATGAAAAAATACCTGAAACTCATACACACATTTTCTGAAAATCTTGGTTTTTGGTAAAAAGGTTTTCTTTGGGGAAGGGGGGGGGGGAGATGGCTTGGGCTGCATGTGGTTTCTAAGATGTGCTTTTTCTGCCTTTGCTCTGGAAATGTTTTTAAAGCTAAAAATATGGCTTGGCGAGAAAGCATTGTGAGTACACATTGGCAGCCAAGCCAAATGCAGGCACTACCCACCCATTTATATATATGTTATTTAAGTTTTGTTTCAATATACATTGGATTAGGAAAATGCTTTAAGGTCACCTGATTTTTCTAGGGGACAGACTGTGAAATCCTAGTTAACAATCACATTTTATGGAGGACTAGCTGTCCCCGGCCACACGTTGCTGTGGTCCAGTCTATTGATAAGAAAAATAAAATAATAAGAAAGTGTTGGTTTCTAATATATGTAATTTCTTTATGCTTGTGGGTAAACAGTATTTCTTACTTTTTCTTTGTCAGTGTTGATGTGGAGAGTGTCTGGTTTGCCCACCCTAGAACATGCAAGATATCATTGTACTTCTTTAATGGTCCCTTTCAAATCTATGATACTATCTCTCTCTGTGAATCATATCTATCTATCTATCTATCTATCTATCTATCTATCTATCTATCTATCTATCTATCTATCTATCTATCTATCTCTATGGCTGGATGGCTCTTTGTCAGGAGGACTTTGACAACGTTTTTTTCCCTGATGAAGGGAGTTGGATTGGATGGCCTTAAGTATTTTCTGTTTGTCATGGGGGTTCTATGTGGGAAGTTTGCCCTGATTCTGACGTTTGTGTGGTTCTGAATGCTCTTTGATTGTAGGTGAACTGTGAATCCCAGTGACTACAATTCCCAAATGCCAAGGTCTATTTCCCCGAAAATCCATCTGTGTTCGTATTTGGGTGTATTGAGTGCTTGTGCCAAGTTTGGTCCAGAACCATCATTGTTTAAGTACAGAGTGCTCTCTGGATGTGGGTGAACTACAACTCCCAAGCTCAAGGTCAATGCCCACCAAAGATTTCCAGTATTTTCTATTGGTCATGGGAGTTCTGCGTGCCAAATTTGGTTCAATTCCATCGTTGATAGAGTTCAGAATGCTCTTTGATTGTAGGTGAACTACAACTCCCAAATGACAAAATCATAATTTTTGAGTGATGGTCACTCCTTGTGTTGTGAGACGTTTTGTTGCCAAATTTGGTGTGATTTCGTTCATTGGTTCTTTTGTTTTTAAGGTACTCATTATGCACAGAGCATTTATATGTTGTTGTTCATTCGTTCAGTCGTCTCCGACTCTTCGTGACCTCATGGACCAGCCCACGCCAGAGCTCCCTGTCGGCCGTTACCACCCCCAGCTCCCTCAAGGTCAGTCCAGTCACTTCAAGGATGCCATCCATCCATCTTGCCCTTGGTCGGCCCCTCTTCCTTTTGCCTTCCACTTTCCCCAACATAATTGTCTTCTCTAGGCTTTCCTGTCTCCTCATGATGTGGCCAAAGTACTTCAACTTTGTCTCTAGTATCTTTGAGCATTTATATATATATAGATTATTCTGAGGCTGGAACAATTCAAGGTAGTCAGCAGCTCAGGTTTTATTACCAAACTGCTTCCACAGTCTCTAATGCCCTTTGATTGGCAAAGTCTCACTGATGGAGGGCGAATACTCTAAAGGGAGCCAGATTTGGCCTGGGAGCTTCTAGCAGTCCTCTACTTCAACTGTACATGCTCACAGCATTACAAATGAAGCAGACAATCAGTTACATGGTGGAAGACCATCCATCATCATGAAGCAAACAGGAAGAAATGAAACACTGTTAAGTGTACAAGTGAAAATTCATGAATTGGAGTGACATGAACTGAGTGGTACATTACTCTTCAAGAACAATGTATGTGCCCAGAGTGCAAGAACGTTATGGGTGACGAAAGAAAGCAAAGCTGTAATTCTGAAGGCCTCCTTCAAATCAATCTTGCCTTACCATTTTCCATTTTCCTGTCAACTCACTGCAGTATAGAATTCTAGTATATATATTCAAGAGGCAAGTAAACGAGTACAGGAAAGATCCTTCCTCATTACTCCTGCTGTCTAACTACAAAACCAGGAGAGAAAATCGAAGGACCCATTTGATTTCAGCTAACTTTTACAATTTCAGCTTGTGGCAAAGATTTTTGTCATCTTCATTTGTGAGGAAACTTTGTGTGTGTGTGTGTGCGCATGATGATGAGGTGTTTCCACACACCTCGACTCCAACCAGCTCCAACATGCACACAGATATGGCAATGCCAGAGAAAAATGCTGTGGAATGTCCTGGTCACATGTCTCTTACACATAATAAATTCTCACTGAAAATAACTTTAAAGAGTCATTCTATGAACTGTAGTGGATGTGTAGTGGTTAAAGTTTTAAACTGGGACTTAGGAAATTTAGATTCAAACCCACTGAACCATGAAACTCAGGCCCATTCTACACTGCCAGATAAAACCCAGATATATAATAACAGTGTTTGTATGTATGTATGTGTGCGGCGGACGTAGGTGTATGTGGCAGCTTTCTGATTGGCTGCCAATGTGGTACAATTTGGATAAGGTCTCTGATTGGCCAGCCTCAACATTCCAACACTCACAAATGGCTGAGAGGGGAAATAAAATTTGCATATGGTTTCTGATTGGCCAGCCTCAACAGGAGCCCCTGGTGGCGCAGAGGGTTAAATCCCTGTGCCAGCAGGACTGAAGACCCACAGGTCGCAGATTCGAATCCGGGAAGAGTGCAGATGAGCTCCCTCTGTCAGCTCCAGTTCCTTATGCGGGGACATGAGAGAAGCCTCCCACAAGTATGGTAAAAGATCAAAACATCCTGGTGTCCCCTGGGCAACGTCCTTGCAGATGGCCAATTATCTCACACCAGAAACGACTTGCAGTTTCCCAGAAATGACTTGCAGCTCCTGACACGACAAAAAAAAACTGCTTTGAACTGGATTATATGGCAGTGTACGCTCATATAATCCAGTTAATCTGATAATCTGGATTATATGTCAGTGTAGAAGGGGCCTCACGGGGTGATTTGTGGCCACTGCCACTCAATTTCTCTTGGTTGGACCTATGGCTGCTATATCATCCATATTATCAAAACATATAATCTACATTATCTGCTTTGATGATGTGAAACTATACTGCCATATAATCCAGTACAATACAGATAATCTAGATTTTATATGGCAGCGCCATATAAAATAGTTGTGTAAGGACAGAGTAAAAAAACCAAAATTTATGCAAGCCATTTTCCTCTTGGAGAAAAAGTGGGATATTTAGCAGAATATGGACTTTGCCCTGTAACATTCATTATCTCTATAATTAGATGTTAATGGAAAGATTTTGTCCAAGAAGACTTAATTAATTCAGTGGATATTTGGAAAACATAAAATGTATCTTAAAGTGCAGACATGTTAACCCTTTAGAAGCCAATAATAATAATAATAATAATAATAATAATAAAACTTTTAATTTATACCCCGCCACCATCTCCCCAAGGGACTCGGAGTGGCTTACATGAGGCCAAGCCCAACAACACATCAATAGAAACAAAAGCAATAAACAAAAACAATAAATACAATACAATGAATATAAATCACATATAAACAATAACCAATAAACAGTAAAAACAAGAATTTAAAACCTATGGCCGGGCCAAATGTAATAGTTTAAAATTTTAAAAAATAAATGCTGGGCATGAACAAGGTAGGATATATCTGGTATAGGGTTTTAAAAGAGATGAGGGAGCGCAGTCAATCCTAAACCAGTAGTAAAGTGCATTCTGAGGACATATTGCTGGGAATTTTCCTTATTCTGGGAAGGCACACTGGAATAGCCACGTTTTCAAGCTCCTCCTAAAGACTGCCAATGTTGGGGCATGCCTGATGTCCTTGGGAAGTGAGTTCCAAAGTCGGGGGGCCACCACCTAGAAGGCCCTCTCCCTCGTCCCCACCTTCGTGCCTGCGAAGGAGGCGGGAGCGCGAGCAGGGCCTCTCCAGACGCTTAAGTGTGATTCTACCATATTAAAGAAAGCATTATTTTCTAATGTTTTCTTCTTACCAGTTCCATGGCTGCACCTTCATCCTGGCCATCTTTCAAACTGTTTCCAGACATGAGCTCCTCCCACGTGAACAGTAGGGAATCTGTTACTTCACCAAATGGATTAAAATCAATTAACCATACCCTGCCCTGCAGAAGAAAAAATAAATAAAAACAAAGCATAATCTGTTCACACACAAAAGGATTTTTTAATGCAGCACCATGAATACTAATCTGTAGGCTTAGGTAACTGCAATTATATTTAACATGTGTTTAAATCTTAACAGTGTTATAAAACCTGCTATAAAAGCCTGACCTGTCAGTTATAGTCATTCCTCAGGAGCTATTAAGAGAAATTCACAAAGCCACTTTTTCCTGTATTAAACTTTTTATTTATTTATTTATTTATTTATTTATTTATTTACAGTATTTATATTCTGCCCTTCTCACCCTGCAGGGGACTCAGGGTGGATTACAATGTACATATATATGGCAAACATTCAATGCCATAGACACACAACATATATAGACAGAAACACAGAAGCTATTTAACATCCCAGCTTTTTCATGAGGGTATTCTGGCCACCAGGGGAGCTGTTGCTACACCGTCCATTTGTGACACTGATGAAGTACTTCCTCATTCTTTGCATGCTTGCTGGAGATTTTTATGGCATCATAAATTAGCCTCCCCGCATAAGTGGTAGCTAAATTTGCTACTTGACAGATGCAACTGTCTTTCGGGCTGCAAAGGTCGACAGCAAGCTACACAAATTGGGCTGGCTTCAAACTCATGACCTTTTGGTCAGTAGTGATCTTAATGCAGCTGACTCCCAGCCAGCTGCACCACAGTATTCAAGACGTTGGAATTTCAGACAGAAGACTTGGAATGCTGCTCAGTTTTCCACTACAGAGGTGTGTGCACCATGGGTTAAAACTAAGGATTAGGGTTAGAAATGAATCGTAATTTCATTTAGGAAATACAAATACAGACTGGTGCCTTGCATGCTTAATCCTTATTGAAAGTTCACAGTGATCAAAGAGAGGAAGAGGCATATACAGCCTGACCAGAAGCCAGTTACTTCCTGTCCTAAATAAGGTACAAAAATCAGTGCTCTCTTAAGTGCAGTTTGCATGTGTCTGAATGTGTACCTTCACGTCACCTGTCAGCTTATGGGGACCAAATGAATTTTGTAGCATTTTCTTAGCCAAGGGACACTGTTTTTGCCAGTTCCTTCCTCTGAAACAGCATCTAACTCCTGGAATGCCTCACTGTAAAATTAAACACCCTTCTGTGTATGCCCATTTATCTTGGAAGCAATCATATATTTTATTACATTGTTAGAAGATTTTGAATTATGGTTTTAATTATCTTGCCTTGTTAGGAGATTTGACTTATAAATTGATTCAGTACTAGAAAGAGTTTATAATCTTGAGATGGAGAGTCAGTACCAATGAGGTCACGGTGCATAGGGAGTTAGACAATCACAAAAACTGAGTTGGACAGTGTGTCAGAATAAAAGAATCATATAATAACAATAATAATAATAATTATTTATTTATTTATTTATCGTGTCAGGAACAACCAGACAGTTGTATTACGTTTTTTAACAAAACAAACAAACAGACAAAACACAAAGTTTGCAAGCTTGGTAGTTGATTAAATGTCCTTTGACCAGTAACTGGCCACTTGGAGTGCCTCTGGTGTTGCTGCAAGAAGGTCCTCCATTGTGCATGTGGCAGGGCTCAGGTTGCATTGCAGCAGATGGTCAGTGGTTTGCTCTTCTCCAGACACGCATGTTGTGGATTCCACTTTGTAACAAAATTGGCTTTGCATCTCATGGTGCCAGAGCGCAGTCTGTTCAGTGCCTTCCAAGTCGCCCAGTTTTCTGTGTGCCCAGGGGGGAATCTCTCATTTGGTATCAGCCATTGGTTGAGGTTCTGGGTTTGAGCCTGCCACTTTTGGACTTTCGCTTGCTGAGGTGTTCCAGCGAGTGTCTCTGTGGATCTTATTTCTTGATTTAAGTCATTGACGTGCTGGGTTTTTAAACTCTCTGATATCCAAACAGGGGATGAGCTGGAGATGTCACTGCCTTGGTGCTTTCACTATTGGCTGCTACTTCCCAGCGGATGTCAAGTGGTGCAATACCGCCCTACACCACTGGTGTAATTTCTCCAGTGGTGTAGGGTGCAGACACCCCATGATAATGCAGCATGTCTCATTAAGAGCCACATCCACTGTTTTAGCGTGGTGAAATGTGTTCCACACTGGGCATGCATACTCAGCAGCAGAGTAGCATAGCGCAAGGGCAGATGTCTTCACTGTGTCTGGTTGTGATCCCCAGGTTGTGCCAGTCAGCTTTCGTATGATATTGTTTCTAGCGCCCACTTTTTGCTTGATATTCAGGCAGTGCTTCTTGTAGGTCAGAGCACGGTCCAGAGTGACTCCCAGGTATTTGGGTGCGCTGCAATGCTCCAGTGGGATTCCTTCCCAGGTGATCCTCAGAGCTCGAGATGCTTGTCTGTTCTTGAGGTGAAAAGCACATGTCTGTGTTTTAGATGGATTAGGGATCAGCTGGTTTTCCCTGTAGTAGGCGGTAAGAGCACCTAGAGCAGCGGTTCTCAACCTGGGGGTCGCGACCCCTCGGGGGGTCGATTGGCAATTGGGGGGGGGTTGTGGCATACCTTCCCTAGGCCCTGCCCCCTCTGTGTGGTGTGGAGGGGTTCCTCCTCCTCCGGCGGTGAGGAATTCCAGGGAGCAGGCAGAGGCGGTTCATGCATTACTCAGAGTAAACGGTTGCGGAACTTTTTTTGCCCAGGGGGCGCTCTGAGGCACCTCCGTAAATGCCCCTTCACGCCTGCGACCTTTCTCTGCCTCCCTCTCCCTGGAGGCGCCCCCCCGCCTCTTCCTTCCTTCTTTTCCCTCCCGTCGTCCCTTCCTCCCTCCCTTCCCTCCCTGGGGCCTCTGCGCCTGGCTGTCCCCTCCCTCCATTCAGGCCTCATCTTTCTCGCTCGCGCTCTTCACCAAGGGCAGAGAGAGCAGCAGCAGAATGCACCCTGAGCAAGGCTTGGCCTCCTCCCCTTTTGTTGTCCTTGCTCTTTTTTTGACTGCCAGGGAATCAAGTTGTGCTGCCCCTTTAAGAGATTTCCTCCTCTTTCCCCCCTCCCCTCCCCTTGCTCCTGATGTCAGTGTGGGGCTGTTGCTGCTGCTGCTTGGGCGCTAGGCCATGAAGGCTGGAAGCACAGAGGTTTGGGGCTTCTGTGGCTGTGCATGGGATATGATCCTGGGAGAAGAGGCAGTGTTTTGGATTTTGGAAGAGCAACCAAGGAAGGAGGGTTCCCCACTGTTCTCAGCTTGCATTGAGATAAGCATAGAGCTGGGAGAGGAACCTCAAGGGCTATCCAGCCCAACCCCATTCCTGCCATACAAAGCGAATAACGTTGGAACCTTGGCAGAAAATCCTTTTTCTGTTTTATGGACTCACAGATTCATAGTTGGGGGAGACCCCAAGGACCACCCAGTCCCACCCCATTCTTCCAGGTAGGAAGACACTGCCTAGAAGATGGCCATCCAGCCCCTGCCTAAAAACCACCAAAGAAGGAGACCCCACTAAGGGCCCTTCCACACAGCCCTATATCTCAGAATATCAAGGCAGGAAGTCTCACAATATCAGCTTTGCACTGGGTTATCTGAATCCACACTGCCAGATAATCCACTTCAATTTGGATTTTATGCAGCTGTATGTAAGGGGCCTCAGATAACCCAGGCCCTTTCCATACAGCTGAATAAAATCCCACATTTTCTGCTTTAAATTGGAATATATGGCAGTGTGGCCTCGGATAACCCAGTTCAAAGCGGATATTGTGGAATTTCCCACCTTGGTGTGCTGGGTTATATAGCTGTGTGGAAGGGCCCAGAGAAGGCCTTTTCATTGCCATGGTTCAGTGGTATGGCATGACAGGAGTTGCAGTGTTATAAGGTCTTTGGCCTTTTCTGCCAAAGAGGCGTGGGAGAGCCTTCCAGTGTCCTCCACCAGGCTACTATTCCCTCGGAGGGGGCGGGCGATTCATTTGCTGGCGCCTCCCCCGGGCAATGGCTGCAGTGTGAAGGCCCGGGTCTGCAAACACAGCGGTGGAAAGCAGCGGTGGAAAGCTGCTTGACCTCCCGTTTGCGACCAGGCCCCTCAAGGCAGGCAGGAAGTGAGGCGCTGTGGCAAGGGGATGCTCCTCCTGCCTTCCCTGCCCATCCACCCGCTTGCTCAGCCAACCCAAAAGCCTTCTGTGCCTGACGAGAGAGTTCAGAATGCTCTTTGGTTGCAGGTGAACTATAAATCCCAGCAGTTCCCAAATGTCAAGGTCTGTTTCCCCCACAGCCTTCCACTATTTTCAGTTGGTCATGGGAGTTCTCTATGCCAAGTTTGGTTCAATTCCATTATGGTGGGAGTTCAGAATGCTCTTTGGTTGCAGGTGAACTATAAATCCCAGCAGTTCCCAAATGTCAAGGTCTGTTTTCCCCACAGCCTTCCAGTATTTTCAGTTGGTTATGGGAGTTCTCTATGCCAAGTTTAGTTCAATTCCATTATGGTGGGAGTTCAGAATGCTCTTTGGTTGCAGGTGAACTATAAATTCCAGCAGTTCCCAAATGTCAAGGTCTGTTTCCCCCAAGTTTGGTCCAGATCCATAGTTGTTTGGGTTCACGGTGCTCTCTGTATGTAGGTGAACTACATCTCCCCCAAATCACTGTTAACTCCTCCCGAACCCTTCCAGTCTTTTCTGATGGTCATGGGGGTTCTTTGTGCCAAGTTTGGTCCAGGTCTGTAATTCGTGAAGGTCTCTGTTGTCTGTGGATATCAGAGCTGAATCAGTCAAAATACTGCAAATCCCATCATCCGTTGTCTATACTCCCCCAAACATATTGTTTTGTGATCAGTCACTATGCTTTAATTACGTTCCATTTGTAACAATGAAAATACATCCTGCATATCAGGTATTTACACCGCGATTCATAACAGTAGCAACATTACAATTATGGATTGTGTGATTTTAGTAATTGATGTAATTTTTTTTAGATTTTTAAAAAAATTCTTTGGTTTTTAATGTAAATCTTTCTCAACTGTATGCAGGGGACAAGAAGGATGGGGTACAAATGTTGA